TAATAATAATAATAATAATAATAATAATAATAATAATATTAATAATAATATAATGGAAGAGGATTCTGTGAGGATTGGTAAAGTAAAGAAGGTCTCCACATCATCGGGATGCTTTTTCTTTCAAGCGTGTCTAGAGCGATCATTAAAGACAAGGGAGAATAATGGGATGCGGGTGATGATGAAACAAACACTATTATCATCCTCACCACTACTCACCACCACAGAAGAAGAAGAAGAAGAGGAACAAGAAGAACAGGTGGAGAAAGTGAAATGTACATTTACACTTCCTCCTCCTCTTCCTCATCCTATTACTAATATTACTAATATTACTAATACTACTACTCCTAATATTACTAATACTAATACTACTAATACTACTACTACTCCTAATATTACTAATACTACTACTACTACTACTCCTAATACTACTCCTGCTGTGGTATTGTCTAATCCACAGAATATCTGTTGTGATGATAATAATGATAATGATAATAATAATGAGGATGAGCAGATCAGACAAATTGCCTCAACAAAGGTCGTAGAAACCACAACAGTGAAGATTGATAATAGAGACTATGATCGTTGTCAACATTGGTTACATGATGGTTATCATAATGATCAGGAGATCTTTGATATCTTAAGTAAAACCACTACTTCATCTTCTTCTTCTTCATCTTTATCATCATGTGAAGATAAAGTGGGTGTAAGTCATCTGCAATGGACACATCCAGAGAAGCATAATCCCACCAAAGAGAATATGTATGTTCCTCCCAATATTCATACCACGCAGGAAAACACTTTTCATCCTCTTCATCCTATTCCATTTAATGGACCCAGGTATCATGTAGAACCTTTTATTTACCAAATGGAAATGCCAACAAGGACATGTAATGCTGCGGTGTTATTATCTTCTTATTTATCTTCCTATTCACCCATCATTCCATCTCCTCATTATATTCCCGTGGGGCCTAACATTCCCTACTGTGGTGCCTACACACATGTCTGTCCGGCTCAAAGGGAATATTATGAATATATACATCCCTATCGCTCTCCTTATTCTCCTCCTCCTCCTGCTCCTCCTGCTGCTGCTGCTGCTGCTGTTTATCATCATAATAATAATCATAATCATCATTATTATTATTATTATTATTATTATTATTATTATTATTATTATTATTATTATTCACAACCGCAATTATCATATCCACAGTATTCCTATCCACAGCATTGTGTAAATAAGATGAGGGCCACACAATTTCCTGAGGAATTGCCAGTGATGGATGAGGGGCAGCAGCTGGCAACTGCAACGTTGAAGAAGATTGAATTTATTGAGGCGTGGCTGGCAGAAGTAGAAACTGCAAAGAAGGAAATGTGAAGAGAATAAATAAATAAATGAATGAATGAGAAAGAATGGGAGAAAAATAAGAGAGAAAGAAAGATCGAAAGTCTTTGTTTGTGTTTGTGTTTGTCTGTCTGTTTGTATGATCATTGAAACCACCAGTGAATATAAATTAATTAAATAAGTAAATAAAGCGAAATAAAAATGAAAAAAAAAAATAAATAAATAAGAAAATAAATAAATAATAATAAAAAGGGCGCAAATTAAATATATTAATATATAAAAACAAGTACGTGCAGGAGAAATAATAGTATTATGCTGTGGGAAGTGTAAATAAAGAAAAAGAAATTAAAAAAAGTATTCCTACAAATTCAGCGGTTTTTTTTTTTTT